AAAGGATATGACTTTCACTAGATATTACATAAGATTCCAACTCCACAATGTCTATTATAGCTTGACAAATTTGTTTTCTAACATATTATCTTTTTTGATAACCATACTTTTTATTTTGTAGTTACATTGCTTCTTTGAATAATGTTGAGTAATGTGCTTAAATTATCCATAATATAAATATAATTCTTTTTAATAATGACAAATCTTTTTTTATTCAATAAGAGATTTAAAATACATCACATCAATTTGTATATCCTATATTTTTAAGTGCATATATTGAAAAGACATTGGTATTGCCATTAAATTGTAATAAAGATAAGGCCTACTTATGTAATTTTTAAAATTGAAATATAAAAAATTGATTGTTACATTTTAAAGCAAAATTAATCACTTAACTTAATGTTTGAGAATCAAGTAAGTTGAGCATCAATTTCTTTATCTCATATTAAAATCCATAGAAAATTAGCTAATGAATGGAATATTATTCCACTTAATATTAATTGTAAGTTGTCAAAATTATGAAACATATAATATTATTGATTGATTGCCTTATTGTAAAATATAGATCTTATTGATTGTAATACAAATTGTATTATGTTCTTTATACATGAATTGAAACTCTACTAAGAAAGCCTCTAAATTATCTAATATTAGGCCATGTTATCAAGAAAAGATAAAAATTATAATAATGCAAAACTTAAAAGTAGTATTTCAATGTATTTGACCTATGAACTTGGATTTGGATAGCTTTAGAGTTGAAGTTTAATGACTAATTGTACTTGATTGATGAATCCTTGAAACTTTGAACTTGTGCCACTAAACTTCTTGGATAAAATAACTCTTACTATTTTAATATTTGAACAATGTTCCACCATAAAAAGAGTGACATGATTCAGTGTAGATATTGAAGTAGCTTCAATCATCTTTATATCTTTACTTCTTGTCAATCTTATTGTTTCTTATAGAGATAAATTGAATTGATGCATTGCAAGCATTAATTCAATAAATTGCTCTTATATTTGTACCATTGAAATCTTCATTTTAATAAGATGTGGTTTGGTAACTTTTAAGAAAAAGGAGGTGTTTTAAATCCCTTTAGGCAAGTTGGATTCCGGGTTTGGAAACAAAAAAATGTGGAAAAAAATTTCAATTTTGAAGGGGGTAATCTATAACTTTTAATATGCTTATGTTTTTTTTTAAAAAAAAAAAAAAAAAAAAAAAAAAAAAAAAAAAAAACTTCAATCCACTTTTAATCAAGAAAAAACAAAGCTCTAGTATTGAAAATGTACTCTTGTCAATTTATCAAGGACAAAAATTTAATAAAGGCAAATAAAAAATCAAAAAAAGATGATAAAATAGAAATAAATATGTATATTTTGAAAGAAACTAAAATGGCTATTGCCAGAAGATAAAAAAATTAGAGTTCCTTGAAATTAGACTACAAACAAAAAAAGAATTGATAAGAGTGAAGAAGGCTTTATTCTTCTTTTTATATATAATATCTATCTAAAAGCTATGTAGCAATATTTTATAAGACTTGAAATATGTGTTGAATTTGTGAGACATGTGTCTTAACCTACAAGACAAATTTTCTATTTGTGCACTATATAATTAACTTGTACCACAAGCTAACAACATATGTAACACATGAATAACTTGTTGGCATAATATTCATCCTACCTATCACCTATAAATGCATATAAAGATGGAATTGCATCTATAAAGCTTCTTGGAAGCTTTCTACTAAATATTATGAAATTAATTTACTTTTATCTACTTCTACTTATCCATATTATCTACATAACTATAGAAATAAATATGTATGTCCATGACAATTGTATACTAAGTAATTGGATTGTGAAAGTTGCAAAATTGGAACACTTAAATCTCCATCTATTACTCTAACACTGATTGGAGCAATGCCAACCAACTTCCATTATCAAATGATATCTCGATCCTACTTTGCACATAATTAAAGGCCATAAAAAAATCCCCCAACTCCAAAATATGGGCTCGCATTAGCAATACATGGCAATAGATCGTCAAAACAAGTCACCTGAAGCACTCACACATGGGGCTTTGATTTAGCCTAGAACTCACCTTCCTCCTAAGACCAATTTTCTCCATGTAGAGGACAAATGCACTCTTCAACTGAGGACTCTATAGGATTGGCATGTTGGATACAACAAGAAAAGAGAAACCTAACATGAAAGGAAGTACAACAAAAATTCTGTGAGATGACCACAGAGGCCACCAAATTGGACCTATTCATAGCAGCCATTCAAACCATTTTTGGCACTCTTCTCCAGTGAGCCCAACATGAACTTTGACAGGGCAAATTAGGGTTGTATATTCAAACTCTGCATCCTAACCTGCCTTAGTTGCGCAA